CACACACACACACACACACACACACACACACACACACACACACACACGGAGGCGCATTTTTTTTTTCTTCCAGATAGACACCTTTTAAAATGCAGAACTAACTGAGGCATTTCAGTAACTTTGCTTTCAAATTAATAAAGTCAAACGTGTGGAAACGTTTTGTGCCTCACTCTCCATACCCCAGGCACTCCAATTCTGTATTGTATAAATTATGCTTTAAGTAGATTTCAGTTTTCCATGCCAAGGAGAAGAGCTTGGTGAAAGAAGTTATTTTTATTTTTATCCTCTACAAAGCCATAGATTTCATTTGGTAGATGTATTCTCTGTACACAAGCCATTTCAATAGGATGGAGCTGTTAATTATTCTCCAAAGAGTAGTAGACATGCAAAAGTTTCAATAAAAACTGGGCCATTAACAAATAAATTGATAAACTAATAAGCATTCCCATCTAGGTTTTTGCCGAACTGCCTATCCAATGCCAAATTTGAGAATCATTGAAAAGGCTAGTTATATCTCAGAGAAATGATTTTCAATATTGAAACTGTTTTCCCTAGCAGGCCATTTTCCCTGTTTCCTGGGAATTTAGCAAGTTTAGGAGAGAATGATCATGAGAAGAAAGGGAAGAAAGGGGAGAAGGGAAGTGGTTAAAATGTTAGTGCCGAGACCTATGAAATTAATCCCTTTGCTGGGAAATATTTAATAGCAGTTCAGAATGGTTGAAACTAGCTTTTGTCATCTTCCTTGTTTGCAGGAAGGTATTTCCTGACTTGCAATGCAGCTAGATGTAAAATTTTATTTTAACAGCCTAGAAAGCCTTGACTTGAAAAGAGAATAAATTTTGAGGCTTGCATATTTGTCTTGCATGTGCCAGAAAGCAGAGAATGGAAAATGCAATTTCCAGCATCCAAGCATCTAAACCCAAGGGCTAGGCAACGCTATGTAGGTTTTGGACACAAAGTTTGGTGCATCTTGGTTTATCCTGGTTTATAAACCAGGATAAATTGCTATTAAAGCTCTCTGGTTTATAGTCTCTTCATTTTATTAGACAAATATGTACTTAACACTTCCTTGGCACAAAGCTCTTTAGTTAACAATTTAGCAGTTACTGTTTGTGTTAAACGCACTTTTCACCAAACAGGTTCCGAGGCAAACAAGAGCAATGAATATTTAAAGAAAGGCTTTCCCAGTATCACTTACCCATCCCAAAACTAAAAAGATCAACTTTTCCAACTGAGAAGACGCTCTTGGCTTTGAATGGAAACTTACAGCAGAGAGTAATAGGCAACAACAACCACAACAACAAATATTTGGAATATTATTCTTAACTCATGGTTTAATAATAAATCTTTCTATTTTTCTAGTAGAGAAACTACCAATCAGCCTCTTCAACATTTACATCCAGTTTACCAAGCCTCTTGCAAGATACTTATTCTCTTACCTGAGTTATTTTGTCCTCTCCACCTCGCCCGTATTCCTCCCTTCGTCTTCTCCCTTTGCAAGAGGAAATATTTAAAATATTTGGGTGTAACTTCAATTATGTAATAATTAATACATTAAAAGCGTTTAACTTCCTGTCTAGAAAAACATGCAGGCTACGGCATAGACAATACAAAAAGAAATGCTTGAGAAATTTGCCCCTGGAGACAAGTAATATGAATAAATCTTTGCCAAAAGTTCTTTTTATGTCATATAGTGTCAGAATTTGAAGGAACTATTTTTCTTCATGTTACACCTTGCAACTCATCTTCAGAAGACACAGCCAGGAGAATGCAGTAGAAGTGAAAGGTTTATAAATCCGTTTGTAAGCATTTATCCCATACATTTTAAATTCAAGAACAATTGTGTTTATCTTTAGAATTTTGTATTCAATACTTTATGTACTATGTGACTCATGCTTCTGGATAAAGCACCAAATATGTATATGTAACCACCATCACATATATTATATTAAATATGTATCTATATAACAGCCTCATATGAGTCCTTCTTGACTCCCATATATTTTCTATATGAAACGTTCTTCCTTAAGATAGGCTTGTCCTTTCACCATGCTTCTTATGCCAGGTTAGCTCTTGACCAATTGGGAGGATGCTTACTATACTAATAAAGGCCAACTATAATACAGCCTGACATGCAAAACTCAGGGAAATACAAAGTGTCCCATTTTCATACGCTCTGTTGATCACTTTCCCTTGGATTCAGGTGACAATAATTTATTGACTCAGGTGCCATCACTGTTAGAAACTGACTGAACATATTATGTCATTTGGATCCTGCAATATTCAGTGAGTATGATAATTCCTTTCTCTTCCTCCCCTGGTGAAAAACCTGAAAGATTTGAAATCCAGATGCCACTGCAAGCAGCTTAATTCTGTGACCACAGATTTGATGCTTAAGTAGTTAAGATAATGTGGGGTTGAGACTGGGTAAAAGGGGAAGCTTGTATTCAGAAAGAAGCAATAGGAGCAGATTTATAGAGAGAAACCCTGGAAAGAGAAAGAGGAGACAGGCAGACAGACATAAAGAGAGATTAAAGAGAGTGTCTATCTTGGTCTCTGGTAAGTTTCTTAATTTTCATTCCCAGGCTCCATGAGGCCTAACTGTATTTAATATAGATATGATGCCCCTGAATAATTTCAATACCACCTACTCTGCTCTTTATTTTTATTACCTTGAATGAGTTTCCGAGAGTTTTCACCAAGAACTATCATTAGAGCAAAGATCATCCACACTTCCTTGTTTCCTCCACAGAGAGGTGATAGTCTTGAGGTCACTCTGCAAATCAGTGGCAGAACAGAGATTAGAGATCAGTTTGACTGTCTCTCAGATGCCTGTTTGGTTCACTAAACAAAAGTAACCCCATATAATCCCTCATGATATTAGGGTTATTGGCTCTAACTTGAGCAAAAGAGGTTAAATGAACCATTCTCCAAGTGGGAACCCATTCTATCATCTGTCAAAGTCAGGTAGGCCAAGCTCTGCAAGTTATCAGATTTCTAAAGCACATTGTACCAGTTTTACATTTTCCAAATCAGCAGTACCTCGAAAATTATTTTGTCCATTAACCACATTCCAAGTTCATTAACTTTTCAGATGGCTTCCCAATGCCTCCACCACATCCTGCATTTGAATTAGTTTCATCTGACAAGTTCCTAGTCTACTTGCCATGCCTTTCCACTGGTTGGTCAAATCTTACCCTCTTTTAACAGTTTAAATTGGTAAAGCAAT